TACACCATACCATATAGTGGACATGCAGCTGAACCCTTTCTCTGACATGGTCTCTAACATAGTTTATTTTTTTTATAATAGTTTTTATAATAAATAGTTTTATAATATATAAATTAATCACTTTTTTCACTTTATTTGTTGCTGTAACACAGTAATTTCTTCTGCTTTAACTGACTTGTTATGACTTATAAAGCAAATCGAGAATTGAGGTTAGGAGCTGTCAACTAGTGAAAACATCCATCCATTCGCTTCTGCTTATCCTTTTCAGGGTCGCGGGGGGCGCTGTAGCCTATCCCAGCTGTCATAGGGCAAGAGGCGGGTTACACCCTGGATATGTCGCCAGTCTGTCACAGGGCTAGTACACAGGGACAGACAACCATTCACACTCACATTCACTACCGCATTCACACCTATGGGCAATTTAGATTAATCAATTAACCTATCCCCACAAACTGCATGTCTTTGGACAGTGGGAGGAAGCCGGAGTACCCGGAGGGAACCCACGCAAACACGGGGAGAACATGCAAACTCCATACAGAAAGACCCCAGCCTGATGGTGGAATTGAACTCTGGACCTTCTTGCTGTGCGGCACCAGTGCTAACCACCGTGCCCTAGTGAGAACAAAAAAAATTATAGCTAACTGATGTCTCCAAAGCAGAGAAAGTCACTAAAAAAGCTTTCAAAGTTCTTCCAGGTAGCAATTTCCACTGTGCAAAATGTCATAAACAAATACCGGTTATGGGCAAGTGTGGAAGTAAAGAAAGGACTTGGAAAGACCTTTCTACTAAAACTGCATGCATGTCTGTTGGTCAAGCAAACCTCCATAAAACCATGAAGGACCTGAGGGAAGGTTTAGCCAGTACAGAAGTAATGGCGCATCATGTAAGATTGGCCAGAAGAAAGCCTTACCTGTGACCTCATCAAAAAACTCAATGTATGAAGTCTGCAAAGCAGCATCTGGATCAGCCAGTGTTGTTTAGAAGTAACAAGGCAACAATGCGCTGTTGAAAAAACAAGGTAAAATGAATTTTGGACCATATCCACGGCACAGGCAGGTTTATAGAAAAGAAGAAGAAGAAGAAACAGCATTTCAAAATGAGGACCTTCCAATTGCTCAGCATTGTAGTTTAAAAAATCCATTGTGAGTCATTTTAACTGCTAATAATACAAAAAAAACATTATGTATCTAGGAGGAAGAATAACTTTTATAAATTCTCACAGATTCTGGATTCAAATTTAATGGAGTGAGTCAATAAAAAGGACAGGACTGTCCTACAAGAGGACAGTTAACAAATGCACACCTCAATGTAATAGCCTTGCATTAATATCACTTCAGCAACCTATTGCATTAACACCATACAAAACTATTATGGCTTGCCACATCCTGTCAAGAAAATAGTTGTGACCTTTCTTGTTTTCTGTTATCTTCTTTCCCACCATGACAAATATAAGGCCACATGCACTTCCCTTTTAAATCTAATTTTGTCTCTTCCTGAAGGAAGTGTCTGCCTTGTTGGGGGCGGTCTTTAAGCTTGTCTCTAACTTTGCCTGTTCATTGTGTGTGTGTGCATATATATGCCTGTGTATGTCTGTGTGTGTGTTGTTTTTTGTTAGTAAAAACTATTACCTGATGTGTGTAGAAATGTCATTATGATGTCAGCTTAAAAAGAATACTGGCAGCCTTGGAGTGAATCTAATTAGAGGATGGAGAAGTAAATCAGCATCTGCATTTACTGCGGTCTTAATAGAACATCTACACCAAAGCATGATATAAGCATGGTTTATTTCCCAGTGCGATGCCATCTGCCTTAAGAGCGAAAAACATTCTGGCACACTTGTTCTCCCTGTGTTGCAAAGCATATAGTATGAAATTGCTCATCTATCATTATTATTTACTATAGCCACAACTATTTAACTGTGTCTGTGTGGACTCTTTGCAATGTCTCTGATCATTATTCACACTTTTAGCATTACTGTATAAGATTATATTATAAGGAGTTCAACCATAGCCACTTGTGGACTCCGTAGCTGACTGATGATTTGTTATAAGCATGAAGTGCTATAAATTGTCAGAGACTAATTGTAGTTGGATGTCTATCCAGATGCTGGATAATAGAACAGTTGCACTGTGTTTTCAAGGAATCCTCCAATCAATGTATCCTCTAAAGAAATGCAAGAACATATTTATACTGCAAAAATGCACTCTATCATTCTAATAATTAATAAGGTCCCACGGGAGCTCGGCAGAACACTGAAAACAGTTAATATGGTTGCACACATACTTAATGGAAACTAAATCAAAGTCGTAGTTTACAGACTCAATCCAAAAAGCTGACGTTTGGGGTTAAACATTAAAGTGTTGTTGTACTGTGCAAAACGTTAGCACTTAAAATACTTACATAGTTCACTTCATGTTTAAAAATATGTGGATACCTAAAGAAAGCATGTGAACATCATATCAACAAGTTACTCACGAACAGTGGGGAGGGGCACATTAATTTTAATATCATGCCTTTATCTCCCTCTGCTCATCTGGAAAGGCTATTCACAAGGCTTATGGATTTGTTTTCATTCAGCCACAAAGTTATCGCTGAGATGCAACACAGATAGTGAGTGATAAGGTCTGTCTCACACTCTGCATTCCACATTCACCCCGAAGATGCTGGAAGGGTTTGAGATAAGGGCTCTGTGCAGTCCACTCAAGTGCTTCCATTTCAGACATAGAGAAACACTTGCTTAATGGTCAGAAATTTGTGCAGTCATCTTGAAAAATGGAAGTCCTTTTCCCAAATTGTGGCCATAATGTTTGTAGTGCCTTGTGGTCTAAAATACCAGTGTATGCTATAGCAATAAAATTTCCATTAAGTAGAATTAAGGAGCTGCAGCCCGTGCCATGAAGAGCCACAAACCAAAATTGCACAGAAAGTACTGTATACAGTTAACTCTGTCTTTGTGTTATTAGAGGGAAAGAAATGAATTTCAAACGATTATAGAAGCAGTATAAAAAAGAAGAAGAAAATTGAAGCCCTATATAAATTGTTTTCTCTGCTTTGTTTATGACTTTGTGGTTATGTCCACTAAAATGTTGTGTACCAGCTGAAAATGACAGCCACTCTTCTAAAAGCATCCAACTGGAAGCACATGAGGCTGAAATGATTTAGTTGCCATTTTAAGGAACATCTGCAGAGGTAACGTGATGCAAGTACCTGACTGTAGCTGCTGGCTGCCTGCAGGGGAGACAAATAGCAAAATAAATATTCCCTCCAAAATTATTTTTTCAATGAATTATAGATGCAGACATCAGAAGTATTAACATTATGCTTTGTTGTTCAGCACTTACTTAAGTTTTAATATTTTTTATAATCTCACTAATCACAAAAATAAATGATAATAGCTAACTAGATGCAGAATAGATGCTCATCTGGGCCGTTGCTGCTTTTAGCATAGTGTAAAGTAAAAATAGGTCTGTATAACTAAACAGTGTTCCCATACCAAACAACCAAACAGTTATGTTTGGCATTATTGCTTCTAATATTGTGTGGGATTACTGTAATGTTCAGTTTCGACAAATCCCTGAAAGCACTGGCAAAAATTCAACTCCAAGCCACGACAGAGCCTCCACTATGTTTTACAGATAGCAGTAGAAACTCATTATTGTATCTCTTTTCTGACCTCCTCTGTGCATATTGATGATGTTTCAAACCAAGACTTTTAAACTTGAATCCATCACTCAATAAAATTTGTTAACACTGATTTTCAGCCCAATTATTGTATAATTTGGCATATCTAAAGATTTTCTCTCTGGTTCCATTGCTTTAAAATGGCTTGTTGACATCTGCCTTTCCACTGAGAACATTTCCGATGAGCTTTCAGGGAACAATAGATGGATCAACTAAAGGGGCAGATGCATCTCTCAGGTATTATGTCAGGTTTTTTTTAAGGACATGACTTTAGATATTGCTCATCTCTGTAGATATTTTAGATGTGATGCAGATATGCTTTTATCTTCCATTTGTCCAGTTTCCTCTGTTTTTTTTTTGTTTTTTTTTAATACACAGTGCACACCATGTTGATATATGCCCAAGATATGCCCCGTTTTGACCTAGCAGATCCTTGGGAGTCACCTTGTTGGTGCAAAAATAAAATTTTATCCCTGTCAAACGGTGCTATCTTCGACATTTTTGTAGATCCAATTAAAGAAATTGGAACAAATGATGTGTTTTTCTGCTAGCAACAAAGTGCCTGTAGATACAATTTAATTTATTTTTTTTTTGCTAAGATGTCTTTCTGAAGCAACAGAAAGAGGACTAAAGACCCCTAAAATGTATACTTGTATCTTTTTATTGATTGATTTGACACATTTGAGGACTGCAGGCGGTTGTATATTCCTCTTTGTCTTATTTTCCCTTATAAGAAAAAAATATTTCAGCTCCTGCCACACCAAGAGATCAATATAGCGCCACCCTTTACTCAGAGGGGAGACGTAGACAATTTAATGCGGATTTGTCTCTAGATAATTAAACTGTTCTCGTGTTAACTGAGCCCCGAAGAAAAACCTTGCTCAGTTCACCAAAAACAATTGAGCTGGTGTTGTGAGTGTATGCAGACATTTGTGTAAGAGCGCGCACACTTGCACATATCTGCTCGCGCACAGGCACGCTCAACAGAAATACACTAGACATCAAAAGAAAAAGAAATAGGCTTTCGCTGAATAAAACCATCACTCGGTAATGGCTGTAATAAGACGATAAAGACTACAGGAACTATCTTCAAGGACTGCCATATCTCTCTGCCCTTATTTCTGTTTTGCAACTTCCTTCAGTGTGCACTCTGAAGAAAAAAAAAGAGAAAAGGCTCAGAGCTTTTTTTTCCCCCCTTTTTCATAAGGGGGTATTTTTAATTCTAAAGCGAGGGATTGGTCACACTTCGTCTCATTAGCATCAGCAGCTGTATAAACCCCGCCACTGCAGAATTTTGAGCTGTTGAAGGCGAGGCAACAAGCGTATCTGACTGGCTGCGCGCAAGGAGCAAGCAACTTTCACTTTCAGCACACTTCAGTTCATAAAAGCGGGAGCTGGATGGAGAGCTCGCTCCAGAGGTGAACTGCTCTGTCCTGCACACAATGAGGCTGCTTACCGAGAGGAAGATTACTACGAAGATGATAGGAGGCAAATTTAAAACTTATTGGCACCGGTGGATTTTAATATTCTCAATCCATCAATTTTTATTTGCCTCGTGGGCTCGGTCCGAGGGAAATACTATCAGATATCAGACCAATGAGGAGAACGCACCAGGTACGGTCATCGGAAACCTTGCCAAGGACATGTCCTTGAGTCTGTCTCATTCCTCCAAGAGCAATTTCAGGATGATGAAACAATTCAACGATTCATTCATCAGGGTGAGAGAAAGCGACGGGGAACTCACTGTCGGAGAACGAGTTGACAGGGAGAGAATCTGCAGACATTCTCTACAGTGTCTGATTACTTTTGACGTGGTTAATTTCTCAAAAGATCGCTACAAATTGATTCACGTTGAGGTGGAAATAAAGGACATCAATGACAACTCTCCGGAGTTTCCAAGCAAGGAGTCTATAGTGGAAATCTCAGAGAATGCAGCAGTTGGGTCCCGCGTCCCTTTAGACCCGGCTGTGGACGCTGATGTCGGGTCAAACTACATCCAAAGCTATCAAATTTCCGTAAACAGTCATTTTACCATTGATGTGCTCCTGAGAGCGGATGGGGTTAAATATGCGGAATTGGTACTAATGAAAGAGCTAGACAGGGAGACTCAATCATCATACACTGTAGAGCTGGTCGCCACAGACGGAGGAAATCCGTACCGATCGGGGTCAACAAAGATAACTATAAAAGTGACCGACTTTAATGACAACAGTCCAGTTTTCGACCAAAATAGTTTCTCAGTCAGTTTGCCAGAGGACGCGCCTGTCGGCACTGTTATACTGGACTTAAACGCAGTTGATGCTGATGAGGGCTTAAACGGAGAGGTCGTTTACGGGTTCGGAAAACAGGTTTCTCATGAGATCCGACAACTTTTCCAAGTGGATAACAAATCAGGTCGCCTCACTCTCAGGGGCCCCGTGGATTTTGAGGACAAAAGCACCTATGAGCTAGACGTGCAGGCGACTGATCTGGGACCCAACCCCACCCCCTCCGTGTGCAAAATCATAATTCACGTCACCGACGTTAATGACAATGCCCCAGAAATCAGCATCACCCCTATGACCTCCATTACAACTGGCATTGCATACATCAGCGAGGCGGCAGACAAGGACAGTCTGGTGGCGCTCATCAGCACCATGGACAGAGACTCTGGAGTTAACAGCCAAGTCTACTGCACGTTATACGGCCACGACCATTTCAAACTCCGACAGGCGTACGAGGACAGCTACATGATAGTTACAGCAGCAGCCCTAGACAGAGAGCGGATTAGTGAGTATAACTTGACAGTCATGGCTGAGGATTTCGGGTCACCCCCACTGAGAAAAATCACTCAGTACACCATAAGACTCACGGACGAGAATGACAACGCCCCTCACTTCGCTAAAGCTGTCTATGAAGTTTCAGTGGTAGAAAACAACGCTCCGGGTGCTTACATCACCACAGTTGAGGCCACCGACGCGGATCTGGGCAACAATGGGAAAATTACTTACAGGCTTGTGGAGAGCGTTATCATGGGATCCCCAGTGAACACATTTGTGTCTCTTAACTCAGTGTCTGGCTCTATATATGCACTCAGAAGCTTTAATTACGAAGTTATGAAACAGCTAGATGTACACATTCAAGCAAGTGATGGGGGGTCACCACAGCTTCAGAGCAGAGCTGTCATCAGATTAAAAATAGTTGATCAAAATGACAACCAGCCTTCTATCATAGAGCCTCCCCTTTACAAAGGATCTGCTGAAGTTTTCCTGCCTAAAGATGCACCTGCAGGTTATGTGGTAACCCAGATAAAGGCAACAGATGCTGATGAAGGCATAAATGCACAGCTGTCCTATAAAATCACCGAGGGGGGACACCTGGGTTTCTCTATCAACAAAGACACAGGCAAGGTGCACGTGAGTCGACAGCTGACGTATGATATCGCAGACAATGTCAAAGTCACAGTGTCAGTCGCTGACAATGGATCCCCCGCACTTACCTCCACAGCTACAATACATTTCAGTTTCGTAGAAGGTGCTTTACCAAGTTCACCTTCCTCAGCTCAAAATGGCAATGAGGAGCCCTTTGAATGGGACATGTCTGTAGCCATAATCATCGTCCTGGCAGGCAGTTGCTCTGTTCTCCTGGTGGCTATCATTCTTATCACAACCATTTGCAGCCGCAGGAAAAAGGAGACAGGGGATGGGGGAAGTGATGATAAAGAAGAAATTCCAAATGTGGAGAAAGTTGAAAGTGGACACATTGATTCATTAAATCAAAACCACAAAGGCAAAGTGTTTGATGCCCATCCATTTCCAGAGAATCCTCCATTGGCCAGCAGCAACACAATGGAGACAGGCTGCGAGGATGGCAGACAGACACCAGGGATGTTTGATTCAAACAACAGGGTTATGGAGGGTAAATTAAAGGTATGTCCATTTAAAAGGTAATCCAATTTGTTTTCTTGTTTTGTTTTCTTTTGTTTTCTTTGTATTTAGACTCAAAATCTCCACGAATGTGTTTAAATCTCTGCAGGGATATTCTACACTACCAGGATATGGGAAAGAAACTGTCAGGCCGATAACAATATGGAAGGGCAATTCATTCACAACAATCTCAGCAAGAGATCCACACATCAGCGGCAAGGACAGTGGAAAAGGAGACAGTGACTTCAATGACAGCGATTCTGATATAAGTGGAGATGTGCACAAAAAAGAGTCACCTCCAACGAACAGTAAGTGAAACACATATCTAGAGAGAAAATAAGTCAAATAACAGCATATGTGAGCAGTTTCTCGAGGTACAAAGAAAAAAAGGAGATTATGTGGTTTATAACTGGATATAATAAAAACATAACCTCTCTACCACTGCACTGGTAACATTTTGACTGATTTAACTGTACACTGGATGCATTGTGACGAATCATTTGGACTTGTGCTGAGATCTTTCATTTATCAAACACGCTCAACCAGGTGAGCCAGCAACTGTATTCATATCACATCCTGACAGCACCACTGTTTTCCACAGGTCTCTGGGCATGTACGAATGAGTGCAAAGTGCTGGGACACTCGGACCGATGCTGGAGCCCTTCAGCTACAAGACCAAACACGAGCCTGGCCTGCGGTCCCCATCTGTCAACATTTTCCAAGACAGCTTCACTTCCCAGGGACACTAGAAGGGAAAACTACTACCCACCTCACATGCCCAAAACCAGCGGTCTTCAGAGTGTGTATGAAAAAGTTCAACACCAGGAATTTGATTACATTCTCGTTGGTCCACCGACACCAGCGAGAATACAGGAAACAGACGAAATTTCCATCCCAGAGTATACAAAAACTTAAGTAAGCTTAAATGACAGATCAAACAGTCACTAAGGGAGATTTTTTTTTCCTCTGTGCTGTCTCTATACTGTATAATACTTCTTAATCTTAATAGACTCTATGTTGGACTGTTGCAGTGTTTTGTAGTAAGTCATGTGTCTTTTGACTCATATAAGACTGTTCATTGTATCATGTGTAATATGCAAGATTTTTTACATTATTAATAATATATTTTTCATAATGATTCAATGTAAAAAGGAATTTTATTATGAATTTTTAAAAGCATGTGTTAATATTTAAGGGGCATGACCTGTGGACATTTAGGCTGAGAAGGGCCTTTCTGCTGTGGAAAACAATCAACGTGAAAGATTGCCATGTTTGTGGTAGATTTTATCACATTGTTGCACAAATAAACAGTTAAAATTTAATAAAGAGAAGTTGTTTTTTGTTTTGTTTTTTTGTTTAAAAAATCCTGGGCTTGTAGGGCCTAACTGTAATCTTACAGGCAGAGTACAACCTTTTGTCCTATTCACAAAGCATACAGAATAACCTCAATTAGCCAACTGAATGCATTTAATTTCCCTTAAAGGCTTATGAGCTGCAATAAATAAAATGAGGTTCTCCAACCATCACAGCAAAATTGATGACAAGCACAAGCCAATGTCACTGTCTTGTCATTGTACACAATATACTTACTGTGCTGCCTCAATTTGCATGCAAATAATGCATTGCCAGTCAAATGTACTTACAGTCACTCGGGGAATTAAAAAAAACAACACCCCCATTATTCAGGCTGTTTTTTAAAAAAATGAAAGTGTTATATAACAAACAATATTTGTTTTTGTGTAGATATTGTCAACTATTGTAAAGAACACAGTGATTTATCATTGTTTCTAAAGTAATAAGAGTATTTTTTCTATTCCGTGACCACATTATTTTAATGGTCAAAGATTCCCCTCATCTTTTGTGATTGTCCCTCAGCTTATGTGGTTTTAAAACTGTGATTTTATCTTTTTCTAAGAAACAGCAGCACTTTACATTTAAATCTCTTTTCATGCAATTTTCTTTAAGCTGTGATAAAGACTACATCACCGCAAAATGTCCTTTCTCCTCTAGTCAGATGAAACAATTCATAATTCAGCAAAGGTTATGTCTATGTGTGTGTGTGCGTGCATGAATGTGTACATTACTTCCAGTCTGTGTGCTCTTGTATCATCTCGTAATATAAAGACTTACAAAGAGCATGAAAGCTTCTCTATTCAAGTTTTACTAGAATTATAGAGCATTACTTTAATCTGGAATCTCTACCAGCCAACCAAATGCAGAAAATTGGCAGCAAACACATACAAGAACACAGAACGGTGAGAAAAGGGAGAAATTAAAGCTAAGACATTGTTCAGAGTAATCCCTGCTATGATATAAATTTCATCATTTCCATCCTGGATGGTCTCTTCCAAAATGGCAATATGTCAGTGAATTGTTTGATGATTATAATATATTCACAGCATCTAAAAATAATTCTGCTATTTAGGAATAAATCATCAATGTGTTCTTGTTATGGCCAGTGTAATCACCAGATTTCAACTCAAATGAGCACACAAAGGAATTCTGATGCAACTGTGGTGTCACATAGTGTACCAACACCCGACTGAGTGACTTTAAGGCATTTTTCCCCCCCTTTAATCTGTCCCTCATCTGTAGCTGTCGAGACAGGTTATATATTCTTTTCCAAACAATCACTGACTCAAAGGTCACATAACATCCCTTTGACCAACAATTGCATCCCTGTCCATAAAACACGGCACCAGTCAGTCTGTCGTGAACTCAGAGCTGCTTAAGCCTTGTTTTAGCTTGATACCACAGGGTGGCCACCTTGCTTTGAGCATTATGGAAATATAGGTAACATTCAGATGAAGAATTTTGCTCAAGTGAAGTAAATCAACTCTACGTCATTCACACCTAAGGGCTAGAAAAAACTCTTCTGGTGGACAAACCAATTCTCGGAGGAGAAGCAAGCAGAGAACGGTTCATACAAGACACAATAAGAGAGATTATGGAAAAAGTGCAAAATACAACTTGTGGATTTTGGTGTTTTGAGCACTGCAGGCCTCCGGTAAGGAAACCTTATTAGCTTTTTATTAGAAATAGAAGTGACATCTGTGACATGTTAATAAAGCTGTCGACTCAGGAAAACCTAAAGCTTTCCAGGGATGTTTCTCTTGTCCTGGCTCAGTGTGTGTGTCACTTCTTACTTTGCTTACTCTGAACTTTCAGGGACAAAGCACCTGCAGCACACCAACCTCTGCTACACTCAGCCGTCCCCTGAGATTTGGAGCCGTGGTTGTCATTGTTGGTGCAGTTTTAATGTTGTGTGCATCCGTGGCTACTCTCTATCTGCAGAAGGGGAGCTATAAAAATGTAAGCGTTGAAAAGAGGTAGTTATTGCATTGCCCCATCAATAACAAATATCTGTGAGTGAATGTGACAGGGATGCTTTTGGTGAGGAGCACGCCGCGAGTACTTTTCAGAATCCTTTAATGATGGAAATTTAAATGGGCATGGTTGTTTTCAGCTCTGTGATATGTATATTAATCTCTTGGAAGCGCCGTCAACAACCATCACAATTCGGACAGTAAAAATGCATCTTTAATTTTGTTTCCAACACATAGAAACTACATAAATTGATCGTGGAATTCATTTCCATCTTATAAGAAATAGTGTAATGTTTATTTGTGTACTAATGAGCTCACCTGTAGGGCAAACATCCCCATCAAGGTCTGTAACAGCATCTCCTGTGGTGCTTTACTCAAATTCTCAGTGTGGTAAAACTACAGAGGATTTTGTGACTGATGACTGTGCTGGGGAATAACACAAGCAACGTGAAGCTTGTTTTCTATCTCTCTTCTCTCGTGTTCACTACTGTGTCATTTACATAACTCGACTAATCAGTCATTTTAACATCCCACTTTGAATGCTGCCAGGTTTATAATGTTCATTACAGTATGAACATCAACGGGGAGGTGAGGGAGGGCTCCATGGAAATTGATTCTGACAACAATCTTGAGAGATTTAAAACTGGGAGTGGAGCTGAGGAAGCTGTGGAAATTCATGACTTTCAAATTGTGAGTAAGTTTGTCCTTGTTCTCGCTTTCCGAGGTAGCTCAGCTGAGACCTTCTGTGTGCTTAGCAAAGTCGCAAAGCCTTGAGTGTAAACATGGCATCTCTGTGATTTGGTGCAGGGAGTGACTGGAATCCGCTTCTTTGGAGGAGACAAGTGCTATATAAAATCCCAAATCAAAGCCAAACTTCCTCCCATGGGAGCTCACGACAAAGCGATGGTGATGTTTGACCTGGTACGTGCAAACTACTTGATACAGACCGTTGTAAATTGAAAAGAAAAAAAGTAGATAGATTAAAGCTTAAATTTCCTTCTAAGTAATTCAAGGACATTGTGTCTCTTTTTTTCGCCCTCCATCAGACAGATGAATTAATGCCAGTGAGCTTTGATGAGGAGTTCCTTATTTGGGTTGCAGCAGAGCAGCCGCTGAAGGACACCAGGTTTCTGAGCAAGAAAATTCTGGATCTTTGTGGGGAGCTTCCCATTTACTGGCTCAGACCGACATATCTAAAAGGTTTCCTTCTGTTCTGTTTAGTTGCTGTACATAGCATCATAATCTAGGAAGACTGGCCTTCGATCAATCTGCATGTTGCTCATTGCTTATTAAAACCTTAGTTATGTTTGCCCTGCTTATCTGCTGACACACTTGTAAAATTTTCAGCCTTGTCTTAGAAGTTGGAGTTCAAGATGTTCGAGAGGCACTCGAACATCTTGAACATACACCACATTTAGAGCCCAACACCAAAAAAAGACTCGCAGAGTCTTGTATTAAAAAAGAATGATCTTGAAATATGCAAGACTGCTTGATATCACTGCTGCTAATTTAATTATTCAAGACATCTGAGACAGCTCCAGCTATGTAGGATTGAGCTCTGAGGACATGTATGGCTTCCTGTGTATGTTGACCCAATACTCTTGCCTCTTGCGACTGCTCTAACAGATGGGGAGAGGAAAAAGAGAGACACGCATCGAGCCAAACGGCAGTTTAACATGGAGGAGGTTGAGGCAGCTGCCGAGGAGGGGGACCTGGTGAGTCACGCAGAGAATGACACCTCCAGAGTTGTGGAAGAAGAGGAGGAGGGGGCGCAGTCAGCTGTGGGGTCAGCAGACAACCCCGAAAACCCCTATCAAGTGAGTCTCTTCATCCACAGTGCTGTTTATGGTAAACAAGTCTCAAGAGTTGGTGAATTTTTGATCAAGAAGCTTATATAGAGCCTTGAAGCAACCCTTTAAGGCTCATTATGAATTTAAGTCTCTCTGTTTTGTCAACACTTTAATAGAGGACTACATCAGGACTCTTAAGATGGCAGCCTTGTTAAATGTATTTTCACACTGATAGAAGTTCACGGCGTGGAAATGTGTTTAAGTGGTTCCTGTATTTATGCTAGCTGTAGGAGGTACATACTTACTGCTGCTGTTGTTAAGGTGTCATACTGGCAGCTGTAATTACAGGTTACTTGGGTAATATCTGCCGTTCCAACTTGATGAACTTATGAACTGAAGTGAAGACTCCCACCAGTTATAAAAATTCATGCTGCCTTCAAGAACTGCAGTCACATGCTTGAGAGGATGAGAAGTTCTTCAAAACATTTGAATTGCAAATGAATATTAAAAAAATATATTCTTTTTTTTTTTTTTTCTTAAACACGATTGCTATTAAAAATCAACATTGGTTCCTTTAAATGCAGCGCAGCAGAGGGGCCAGAGAGGAAAGCGCCCTGACCTTTGACACCATGTTAGACCACCAGGGGATCTGCTGCTCCGAATGCCAACGCAGCTACACTCACTGCCAGAAAGTGTGTGAGCCTCTGCGGGGCTACTGGCCTTGGCCTTACAACTACAGAGGGTGCCAGGTAGCTTGTCGAGTCATCATGCCTTGTCGCTGGTGGGTGGCACGCATTTTTGGAGTTGTGTAAAAGAACACACAACATATGTGAGCAAATGTGTGTGCGCATGTGTGCTTTGCAGCTCAGCTTCTTTTTCAGATCTGCACACAAATATCAGATTTCTCTTTTTATTAGCATCTACCAGAAAGCTATGCCTGCTAGCGTGATATGCAAAGTGTGAAATGTGACCATTTTTATTGTAGCATATATACCATCACCAGCCACTTTATTAGGTACACCTTACTAGTACATGGTTGACCCTTCTTTTGCCCTCAGAGGCGCCTTAATTCTTCATGGCATAGATTGATAAAATATTTTTGGACATATTGACATGACAACATCATACAGTTTGTGCAGATTTGTTGGCTGCACATCCGTGATCCCTTCTGTTACACCACATCCCAAAGGTGCTCTATTGCATTGAGATTTGGTGACTGTGGAGACCATTTGAGTAAACGTACTGTTCAGTTAAAAAAAAGAAAAGAAAACATATCTTGAGATGATTTTAACCTTGCGACATTAGGTGTTATACTATTGGAAGCAGCTATCAGAAGATAAAGAAAGATAAAGATAAAGAGATTGGCATTTAAGACCAGGTAGGCTCTGGTCTTTAATTGATCAGTTCAGCTCATTTGATACTATAGGGCCCAAAGTGTGCGAAAAAAAACCATCCCCCACACCATTACATCACCAACAGCAACAGCCTGAACCATTGATTCAAAGCAATATAGATCCATGCTTTCATGTGTGTTTACACCTGACCCTATGATCCGAATGTATCAGCAGAAACAGAGACTCAGGTTGTGCATTTTCACCCAGAGAATTGATGCTCACTGGACATTTTCGCTTAAAAAAAAAAAAAAAAAACCCCTTCTCTGTAAATCCTAAAGATGATTGCGTAGGAAATTCCCAGTAGATCAACAGTTCCAGCCGACCTGTAACCAGCAACCATACCACATGGTTGACAAGTCACTGCTTAGTTTAAACTTCATCAGGTTATCTTGACCATTGTTGCCATACTATTGGCTGATTAGAAATTTTCATTAACACAAAGCAGCTGAATGCATGTACCTAAGTGGCCAATGATCATATACTATACATGACAAGTTTTTCATCTTGATAGGAATGCTACATTTCTTTTAGATACAATTATTCAGAAATGCATACATGTAATGTTCCTATTTGCAGCTGCGGATTCAGAAATGAGTGCATTCATTTTTGTATCGTGTCATGGCCAGGCTTAATGCACTGTACTGTGTTTAATGGAAGGCACTGGACTGAATCCAAAGGCTCAGCAGATCATGTACCTTTTCTGACAGGCTTCAATAAATTCTAATTACAGTATATGCTGGCTTTGATGTAGATGCTTTTTGTGTCACATGTTGTTACCATGGTTCCACTGCGTGTTTTTCTGATAAAACTGATGTGACAGCAATGGTTGCCATAACTTCCATTCACAGCTCAGAATCAGTTTGAGGGCAATACAATTTGTGCACACTGACATCTGCATTGATGTGAACTAATGTGAGATGAGTGTCATGGCAATGATGGAAAATGTTTCCATAAAAGTGACATTTTTTCTTTTATTAAATTTTTTTTTCTATGAAAAGAGGCTGAATGCAAAGCTTCCAGAAAACATGATCACAGAAACTGTTTTTTTAGTACCTCTTTCTGGGACTTGTGGTGTAGTATCCTATTCCGAATACCTCAAAAATCAAAAGAAATGAGATTAGAATCTCTAAAGCCATATGCCCACTTTCTAAATAATTGAGAGGAGCCATGTTGTGATCAAGACGATTTCACAGAGGTTGATCCCAGCACATCAAATTACAACAGATGTGAAATTACACCATATCTGCCACTAAAGCTGCATTGAAACTCAGAAGCGGTGCGCGGAAACAACACAGAGAGATGCTTGTCTTTTTGCTTGGAGATTTTTTTCCTTCTTTTTGGTTTTCATGGGGGTAGAGGTGCTTATCACATCTGCAGTGCTGATAAGACGGCCTCTGTGCTTCCGTAGGCAATATAATATTAATCCCTCTCCCACGTCTACAGATACACTTAAAGGAAGGTGACAAGCATGACATATCCAGGACCTCCTGATGGCTCGTGCTCTGGAGTGCAGCCGCTAAAAGAGCCCCAAGTACCCTCAAGTGATGTAAATTTGCAGGGGGAGTCCAATTTCCATCACAGTGCTGTCACTGCCATGGTCATTAAACTAAATCATCCCGCTGTGTGTCACACAGCTCCCATTTTAAAGTCCCCTCAATAATGGAGTTATACTTGGACTGCAGATTGCTGCACAACAGTAATGTCTGACCTGACGGCAGCTGTAAGACTATCCTGCACAGTATTTCATCCTTCGAAATCACAGGCAGACAGCACATACGGGTGTAAAAGACACCTTGAAATTATTCATCAAAGGAGGAACCTTTTTGTGTACTGTTCCCACCTGCTATAGTTCAATACGGCAATAGATAATACGTATAGGCTTTCTACAGACAGAGGTACAGCAGGCGATGTGCATGGTATTTTTGTCATTTTCCACTGAATTTCACTCAGAATGTGTTGATACTGTAGCTCAATAAAAAGCTAGACAAATAGAAATGACGACCAAAGAAAACGTATACATATATATATATATATATATATATATATATATATATAACAAGCAACAACTCAAAATGCCATTTAAACTGAGAAAAATACATAGCTCAGAACAACAGCAGTTTTGTTATCCTCAGGCCCTGTTTCTAAAGAACTTGTTTCCTTTTGCCATTCCTCTCCTAAGAAGAGAAATGTACCCCTGTTGTGAAGAAAAGACGAATGTGTTGGAGATCACTTCAGTGTGCGAGACAGTGGTGCCTTTTTGTTTGTCTCCCCTCTGGAGCCAAGCTTACCCTGGGAGCCCTGCAGGCCAGGGAACAAACAGAGCTTTGTGAGCACTGACCCACTGTGCCCAGCAGCCAGACTGCAAACCTCCACTCCTGTGCTAATAGGAAACCACAGATGAGGAGTCGGTAGATGACGAGGGAGGGGAGCTTTCTCGCGTCCACCTGCGCTTTCATCATTGCCCATCTAAACAAGTATAGGCAGGTGGGGTGCTGTGGTGTGCTGGTGATCACCGAATCAAAAGCTTTTTTCTCCAACATCCTCTTGGCACCAAAATTGAACTGAAAAAAAAAATCACTTTGGGAAACCCAGCTAGTAATTTAGTTTGCTGCATGGATTTGTACTAATCAAGCCCATGCGCTCACTAGAGCCCCCTATAAATATGTCAATAGCCTGTCATAAATTGCCAGTTGTTACCCAAGAGGCATTAGAAGTGTGAACAGGAGTGTGAAGTGAACCACTCTAGTCAACGTGTCCTACATTTGATTGCATGTTTTTTCATTACATGCAGACATGAATGAAATAAACAGTAGTGACAGTCCATTTTGCACCTTAACCAGAACACAGAAACCCTTTTAGGCTGGCTCATTATGTTTTTTCTGCAAGAAAGCACTGCAATACATTTATAGATGCTGGCGTTGTGAAAAACCTGTAACCCACAGTTTTGCACCAGGCTCCAAACATTTGTCTTTTCTTTTTTCCTGAATGGTCAGATGTACACGGCTGGATGAAGTGGGGGTTGGGGTGTCCTGGTACAAGGCTTAAATGCTTTTTAATCCCATGGTTGAGTGACCACTTGCAGTTCTGCCCAGTAGGTCTCTCTGAAGTTTCCTTGCCATTGGCTACACTGTCTGCTTGCCTCTCTCCCTCTCTTTCAAGACACTCTCCTATGCAACTCCCGAATGGCTATTAATTAAATGCCTGCTAATATTGTCTAAAGAAGTCTGTCTTGCTTATTTCAGTAAGTTAATGTCTGTAAATAATGTCTGCAGACTTGCCTGCATTCCACAAAATGCTTTCTATGTAATGAAACATTACGGCAATTCTCCTGGGTCACTCGAGCACTCTGCACACATTGCAGGGATTTTCTTTTTTTCCTGTGTATTGCACTTGGTTGCATGGTGTCCCTGTTACACTCAAATAGAAAACCTGTAGTGTGCTGTAGGTCTAAATTGGACACAGTGCTGGAGTTTGCACCAATGGTTTCCTGGGGACACGCTGTATATATGTGACAGTTAGTGCGGTGGTGGAGGCATCCAACCTGCAGTGGATGTTTCTCACAAGAGGTGGGCAGGTATCCTTAAATCACAGCAGGCACAGGCTCCCTGAGAGGATCCTGTATAATCAACAATATAAATTAAACCACCTCACCCATATCACATTTTTTACCTTGTCAGTAAATTTTAATTTGAAATGCCATACCAATGTAATAAATATTAGAAAGATTCTCAATTGAAATATGCCGTTTGTCTCAACTTCAGTCACCGTAGGATGTACCCCAGAACATTCACATTCTCTGGTGGGGTGCTTAAAAAGAGCTATAGATAGCTCAAAGCAGAATCAAATCAAGACTTCACATCTACAAACCACAAAAAAAAAAAAGAAAAAGAAAAAGAAAAAAAAGCTCCTCCAAAAAGCAATGTCAAGAGGCTTTCCACATGAAAGCAGAAGTTGTCTAAAGAGTTGCAGGAAGTACTGACAAAGTTTATGAAGAAAAAAGTAAATGTGTTTCTAATCCTCAGCAGCACGTGCAACAATGAAGAAGCCTGAGCACTTAGATATGCCACCCCGGGGGCAGGCTCTATACTTAAGGCTTACAACAGCCTCATTATCTCCCTCAACTCACATCAGATCCTAGCAGCAGTTTGTCACAGGCAGGCTCCTCTCTGCCAGTAGGCATCAGACCAATCCTCCTGCAACACTACTGTACATAATTGCCATATGGACAGCATTTTGAGCCAGACTGAAGACTAAAAAGCCCTCCAGGCAGATTCCCCGGATAACTAAATGAATATTTTATCTCATTTCCATCTAATTTGCACCACATTATTATACAGAACTGAAAATTTTAATTAATTGATAGAACAGATCAAACACAGGTTTACACTTTGATTTTCGGGAGCTGTTATTTTGATAATTTGCATGACTTTTTTTTTCCCATGCCAAGCTCTTTTAATCTCTTGGAATTTCAGCATCTCTATATAGAAACACTATAATCAAACATACAGCAAATTAATAACTGTCAGCACACATGAAATGCCTGTCTTGATTGCGTGAGCAGTTCCAGTGAGAAGTCCTTTTACCTGCCACCCCACTGATTAATTAATTTCACACTGTTTAATTAAATCCACAGTCTGGGGAGTCTGGGAAGCACTGTGGGGAGCCATATTTGAGCCGTGTGTGCACAGAGATTACTAAAGAAGGTCTGAGACTCGTGCTCTCCGGTTGATGTTGACAGTGACGTCACCCTCCTCTGGATACTGGAGCCTGATTGTCTCAGTGTCATCTGGCAGTTGTGAGCGTTTACTGCTGGGGAAATGATAGTAATGGCCCATTTGTTAATTATCTGCTGGCGTTTACATTAACAAAAGAGAGTTGAGCATTTGACAGCGTTGGACGCAAATTAGCATTTGACAGGAGCATCTGATTGAGTGTGCTACTGCATATATGCAAACCTTATCGCCCTAAAGTTAGCTACCAGTACAAATAATGATGAATTATAATGGCACATCCATTGCTATAGAAAGGTATGTGGAATTTGGGGGGG